CAATTAAAATTAAAATTAGACTTAACACTTTATTGAAAACTCAATTTCTCTATTGTATAGTACCACTTGTAGAGTCCACTTGGAGACTTCAATATTCGGCTGTTTTAGACTAACTGATGAATCCTTCAAAATGTGAACATATTAAAATTACAATTTCACTTTCAATTTTATTGACTAACCACTAAATTTTGAAAGGAATGACAAAATCTAATAAATTTTCAATAATAAAAAATCAAATGTGATTGATTTTGAAATTGATCACTGAAGATGGTTTTGCAATCTGTAGTAGAGTACTAGAGCAGTAGAATTAATTCAAATACATATTACAATATTTGATAAAAACAATTAAAATCCGAAAAGAATTAGACTTGGAGGCAACCACCAACACCCAATTCTCCAAAGAATAATATTCTTGGTTCTCCCCAGAATTTAGCAGAGTTAGTTCGTCGCCTGACTTAGAATGTAATGACTAGAGGCGACCGTGTGAGGTTTCAAATCAAACTGGAAACATGTATGAGAAAAATGGTCCAAAAATGCCAAAAAGTCTGGATTGGATCCCACTGAAAACATGACTCGAGACTCGCGATTTACCTAGACTCTAGGGGTGGGGTCCTATGAACTTACGATCAGTCCGGCGAAGCTAAAATGATCTAAGTTTTTTTTTGAAATAATAATAATATTATTGATCCAATGTTATCTTTTTAGGAATATTGTTTCGATTTATTTGGGATAATTGAGAAGTTAGAATTTGTAGTTGTATTCGATATATAATAATAAAGTAATCATTAAAAATGATTGGATCAATTTGGAGCAATAATTGTTTTTTAAACCGAGAGAAATTCGCATTCATTAATTCAAAGTGTGAATATGAAAAAAATTGCTTGTGTATGTAATAATCCTAAATCACATTTAAAAAATAAAAATGGGGCAATAGTTTTCAAATTGCGAGTGGTCGCCATGTGATATGATGTGGATTGCCTCTGTAATTTCTACAAGTGGAAACATTTTTTACGCGTTAATGATAAAATAGAAAACTTGCGTGTTCTAAGAGAAATCATCATTGTATGGTCACTGCTGATGCAATTATGCATACGAAGCCCATTGGAGAAGCAATTGCTTTCGATGAAAATATTACGTCACTCTCATACTTTTTTTTTTTTAATGTAATTTTTTAAAAAATATTGATATCGTACAATATAATAGACTTAAATAAAAGTGAATATATTTATATTTGATAAATTTATACTTTCTGTTTTTATGTTTTTGACAAAATATATTGTACTACTTCAAAAAGTATGTAATATCACTATATGGGCACTAACATAAGGTTTGGTTTGTTGAATATATTGGGAATAAAATGTGATTTCATGAAATAGATCAATTTTGTTGTTTGGTTTAGATTTTAGGAAAAATGGTCAAATAGGTCATCGAAGTTTAACTTAAAAGTCAATTAGGCCCCTAAACTATTTAAAGATGTAATTACAGCCATCAACAATTCATTTAGGTGCAATGAAGTCCAAAACAATTTAATGACCTGCTATCACAAGTCATTAAGGTTCAGGCCACCTTTCGGCGAAATTTCCGACAAAAAAAAAAAAAAAGTGACCGGCGAAATTTCCGGCAAGTGACCGGCAGCGACCATTTGTCGGTCGCCGGTCACTTTTTTTTTTTTCTTTTTTTTTGCCAAAAATTTCGCCAGTCGGTCGCTGATCACATTTTTTTTGTCAGAAATTTCGCCGGAAGGTGGCCTGAACCCTAATGACCTGTGATAGCAGGTCATTAACTTGTTTTTGGGTTTCATTGCACCTAAAGGAATTGTTGATGAGTGTAATTGCACCTTTAAAAAGTTTAGGGGTCTAATTGACTTTTAAGCTAAAGTTCGAGAGCTTATTTGACCATTTTCCCTAGATTTTATAGCAAGGAATTTAATTTACAGTTCGTGTAGGGAAGGGTTTAGGTGCGGATTAGGCTTCCTGTGCGGTTGACGCGTATTAAGCATTAAAATGGTGCACTTTAAGTACACAAACCACCACGCACTAGAGCTGGCCAAAGTCCTGGTCCGGTCCGGTCCCGGGCCTCGGCCAGTACAGCTCAGGACCGGCCTATAGTATTCAGGGCCGATCCCGGGCCCGGGCTTCTTGTGGGCCGATACCGGGCTAGGCCCGTAATTTATTATATTGTTTATTTTTTTAAAATATATAAATTTCTATATAAATTGATATATTTTTGTTTAAAATGAGATTTAAACTATTAACCTCTTATCTTAATCCTAGTTACCAATTTAAATTCTTTCCAATTAAGCTATTACAACCTCTTAATACATTAATAATAATTAATATATATATATATATATATATATATATATATATATATATATATATATATATATATATATATTCACATTACACATAGTCTTGTACTATTAAAACTTTATATAAGACTTATTGACTTAATATTATTTGATAACTTGTAAATATTATAAAATGTGGTATAGTTTATAAAGTTCATTTGATTTTTACTCACTAAATTATGTTAGATGATAAATTAAAAATTTGTAAAAGACTTTCAAATTGGGTTTGCTTTTAATTTATGGAGAATTGTTGTGAGTAGAAGTAAGAAAGTGTCGGATTAAGAATTTTTATGTGATAAAAATAAATTGGATAAGAGTATTTATAGGGTAAAATGGTAAATAAAAAGAAGAAAAACAAAAAAATTTAGCCGTTACACTAGCCGAGAGGCAAGAATAGGAGTAGCTAGCCTCTACCGGAGGCCAAGCCTAGTCTAGCCTCTGACAGAGGATACATGCAACATCCAAATATATTTGGCTGTTGCACGTTGCAGGAATGAGTAGTAAGTAATAAGTCTAGCTGCCACCATCAAAATTACTATTTTTTTTTTTAGAATTTTAGGCATTTAGCCATGGAAGCAAAGCTGGCATCCTTTGCTGCCATGGCTGTGTTTGCCTGGGCCTAGGCCGGTTAGGGGCCTGGGCCATGGGCTGGTTCTGTGCTGGGTCTCGAATATTTTTTAGAAGGACCTGAACCGGCCCTTAACAAGCCGGTTCCGGTTCAAGCTAAGCCCAGCTCAGGCCCAGTGAGGCCCATGCCCACTTTTTTCCGTGCCGATTCAGGGTTGGTTCGACCTTGAACCGGCCCGTGGCCACCTTTATCACGCACCTTAAGCACACAATCAAAGCATCCTAAGAACACAAATCACTCACCTTAAGTACACAAACTATGCACCTTAATCACACAAAAAAGCACCTTAAGAACATAAACCACGCACCTAAGATTTTAAAATGACTCACCTTAAGTTTCACACAACTGACGCACCATAAGCATACAAACCACGCACCTTAAGAAGGAAAACCACGCACCTTAAGTTTCAACAACTACTCACATTAAGCACAAAATCCACGCACCTTAAGCACAAAACCCACGCACTGTAAGCACAAAAATCACGCACCTTAAGAAGTAAAACCACGCACCTTAAGCACAAAACCCACGCACCATAAATGTGACCTAGATGCAAAAATTTACCAAACTGCCACAACGTTTTTTTTTTTTTTTTTTTTTTTCGGTAATCATAGATGTTGATTTAAGCAAGATCAATGGCTCAGATTTAACCGCACAACTGCACCAGGACGCACCAATCGCACCTAAACCCAAATAAAGCCCTCCTCTTCCTCCATTGTTACGAGTCGCCGGCCATGGATTCGGGTGTCCAATCGGTTGCTTGAAGTATGAAATTTCTTTTATATATTGCACCTGTTCGTCTGCTATCTTCACGTCAACTTTAAAGACCGTAGCAATGAAACTGAAGATTGTGTTCAAGAATTACGGAACTTTCCTTCGAAGACACTAGCACGATCGCCACCCATTTTATCTTTTTATCCCCTAGCCCCCCAACCCCCGCCCCCCCCCCCCCCCCCCCTTTTTTTTTTTTTTTTTTTTTTTTTTTTTTTTTTTTTTTTTTTTTTTTTAAGAAAAAAAGAGCTAATTCATTAATCATACGATGAAAAGTTTACAATAAGATCGATGAAATGATAAAACATTCTTACAATCAGACATCGAAACTAATTTTCAATGCTACACGAAACTTGAATCTCTGATTGTTTTTCACGATTGAAGATGAATTCGTTTGGTGAACCTGAAGCTTCTTTGATATTGTTAATGATCTTGCTACCCAAGTCTGACTCTATTGCGGCTCTTCTGTCCATAAACAACATCTCCATTAATATGAACTGCATATCAAGGTTCAAATCTTCTTCAGTGCTCAGGATGAATCAAACATACTCCATTATCAGATAAATTATTTCACCTTATGAAAAAAAAAAACTCGCCAAATAAGCGAGAGGAAAACTCGCTAAAGACACGAGAGGAAATAACTCGCGAACGAAACGAGAGGAAATAACTTTAACAAAATAACAAATGAAAATCAAATCTAAAACATCCAAAACACACACACACACGCACACACACACACACACACACACACACACACACACACACACACACACACACACACACACATATATATATATATATATATATATTGAACCGCTGAAAAAAAGGTAAAGAAACTTGGATATGGAGTTGGAGATGGCGAGGGACGGTGGTGAAGGAGGAAGAAACGTCGGTGAGGGGTCGGAGGAGATGGTGGCTGTGGAAGAGAGGCGGGAAGAGGTGCCGACAGCGGAGGAGAGGCCGAAGGACATGCGATTGAGAGACGGTTGGAGTAGGGGAAGAAACGAGATGAGGCCGGCGCCGCCTCCGCAAAACGAGCGGAGGCGGCGACCGATCAATGGAGGATGAGGGAAAACCCTTGTAGAGAGAATATTAGGTTAGGGAGTGGAAATGAAAGTTATTCCATTTGTTTTATCCCTTGGCCCCTTTAATTACCATATTTATCGTCTAAAACAACCGGGTTTTATTCCTCCCCTCTATGCAATCACAACCGTCAATCTCAATAATTAGAAGGTCTAAAATAGTCCACACTCCTCATGTGGGATCATATCCCCACCTGATCTTCACAGGATCTGGATGCACAGAGTCCGATGCAGCATTGATGACGTCATGGTGAAGAATAGATTCCGCCAAGGGAGCAGTCTGAGTAGGTGGTGTCGCCTGCAAGGAAGGTTTAGTAGCAAAAAGGTATACTTCTTCATCAAATTTGACATGCCTGCATGTGTAAATCTTATTAGTCTGTAAGTTCATGCACCTATACCTCCTAAAGGAATCAGGATAACCTAGTAAGACACAAGGAGATGATCTGTACGACATTTTGTGACGATTGTACGGTTTAAGTGAGGATAACACAGACAACCAAAGACATGAAGGAAGGAATAAGAGAGAGGAGATTTATGCAGCATGAGATGAGGACTGGAGTTATTTAATACAGAGGAAATTCTATGCATTATGTTAATTAAATAGACAGCAGTCTCAAAAGCGAAATCCCCGAATTTTAAAGAAACATAGGCATGAGCTAAGAGTGCTATACCAGTTTCAACAATATGTCTGTGTTTACGTTCAACACGGCCATTCTGCTCATGTGTATATGCACAGGATTGCATATGTTGAATTCCTAACTGAACAAAGGAGGCATGCAATTTGTTGTATTCAGCACCTAGATCCGACTGAATGGATTTTATTTTTCGATTGAAGGACCTTTCAACAAGAACACGAAACTTATCAAATATGACATAGAGATCATACTTTAATTTCATAGGGAACAACCACGTGTAACGAGAATAATCATCTATGAAGATTACAAAGTAACGATAACCATTTGTAGATAATATATGAGCTGGACCCCAAATGTTCGTGTATATTAAATCAAGAACATTCGAACTAGAAGACACAACGCATGTCAAGGAAATATGGGCATACTTACCCAATTGACACGCATTACATAAACTATTATTACAACGAATAATAGTACTAGTCCCACTAACCGAACAAGACTGAAGAATACGACTAAGGACAGGATGATGAGGATGACCTAAACGATTGTGCCAGACTGACGCAGAGGCACGAGTGGAAAGAAACACTGAGGGAGACAAACTTGGCAACGGTAGCGTGTATAGCCCCCCAGAGCTATTGCCCCGAAGCAGAATTTCCTTGGTATTGATATCTTTCACAACAAAGAAAGAGGGGTGAAACTCAAAGAATACTTTATTATTTGATGCAAAACGTTGAAGAGATAATAAAGAGGTAGACAAACCAGGAACATGCAATATATCAGACATCGTAAAAGACCTAGAAGGGGTATCAAAAGTAACATGGCCAACATGACTAATAGACAGGCACATACCATCACTGACACGTAAAGTGTCATTACTAGTGTACTTCTCCGATGTAGAAAGGGCAGCTATGTCTGGAGTTGCATGATTTGTGGCTCCACTGTCCGGAACCCAAGTATGAGATTTTGATAAGGTGTTAGCACCAAAACCATCTTGAAACACCAAATTATCCCAAGGATCTGGAGCCCCTGAATAACGCCGAATACAATTTGATCAAAACCTTCACAAATTTGACACTGAACATCATAGGCCGAAAACAATTGGCTCTCGCATAACCAAAACTTTTACAAATTTGACACTGATCATCATAGCGCCAAAAATAATTGGCTCCTGTGTGACCGAAATCATTACAAATTTGACATTGAACATTAAAATCACGTCCACTACGCTGCGACATTTGCGTGAATAGGAACGAAAAAGTGGAGGAATTGCGGCGGCAGCGTATGTAACAACCCTTCGTACCAGATCGACGCGATGCAGTGTTGGGTGGAATTGCGAAGGAATTTTGGAGGAATTGGATTCTGGTTTTGGGAGACTTCCATGGAGTACATTCACGAAACACCCATTCTACAAGAATTAATTTGGTTAGCTTTGGAATTTGGAAAAGAAGCTAATTTTGTTGTTGTGGATTTTGGAATTTGGTTCACCGTCGGCCGTTGCGATTAGCCGACGCAAAATCACGTGGACATCATTTTAGATTGAGTTAATATCCAAAATAGTCCCTCGACTATGTTGTAATTACCAATTTGGTCTTCGATTATCATTTTTACCCAATTAAGTCCTCAATTATACAATTTTTATGCAATTTAGTCCTTTGTCAATTTGACTGTTTGTTGACTGTCAAAAGTGGAAATAAAGTTGTAATTTTACAAGTTTCTCCTTCCTCCTCATTTAGCAGCGCCAAACCATGTAGCAATAAGCTCCGGTTGGGTTCTAAACCTGTCAGTATCGAAGTAGTGGTTATGCATCGGATAGCCCATGAATTTGATTTCCAACGATTTTTTGATGATCGAAATCTGATCGGAGTGTATTGCTGCATGGTTTGGCGCTGCTAAATGGAGAGGAAGGAGAAATCTTGTAAAATTATAATTTTATCCCGACTTTTGACAGTCAACAAACAGTCAAATTAATACAGATGATTAAATTGGGTAAGAATTGTATAGTTGAGGACTAAATTGGGTAAGAATTGTATAGTTGAGGACTTAATTGAGTAAAAGTTACATAGTTAAGGACTTAATTGGGTAAGAATGGTAGTTGAGGACCAAATTGGTAATTATGGCATAGTCGAGGGACCATTTTGGGTATTAACTCTTTTAGATTTGATAATTGGGAAGAAATCTTAATTAACTAATAGAGAAAATTACACTTTTGGTCCTGTGACTATCGTGGTGTTAGTAATTTGAGTACATGACTTTAAAAACTAACACTTTAGTCCCGTAACTATGCAATTTTTAACACATTTGGTCCACCCGGCCAAATGTCGCCGGAAAGTTATAAACCATTTTTAATTAGATAATAATGAGGGCAAATCAGTCATTTAATGTCACTTTCTTCTTCTTCCTTGCATTGCTAGCCGGAATTGCCATGGATTCTGGACTTGATTCGATTGGTGTTGTATGATTCGATTCTTCCCTGGATTTCGAACTTGGCCAAAGGATTTGGGTTTGCTGGGCGCTGCGCTGTTCACTCTGAAGCGTCGTTTGCTATCATATGTTCCACGGTGACGTTGAAATTCCGCCAAAAATTCAACAATGATTTGCCGTCTTTCTGCTACTCTATCGGGCATGCCGCTCATGGGGGCCAATGATTTGCCTTCTTTCTGCTACTTTACAAAGATGGTGAATTTTCCACCAAAATTTCATCCCTAAAAATTTGATGGTCTTAATTCAAGAACGCACAAATTGATGGTGAATTCTTCTTCCATGAACGGAGCTAAAACCAAGAATCCGTTGGCTCCGCGCTGAAATTAATTTCTGCTGCACCGAATTGCTTCAAATACTTTACTACCACGTACACGCCGAAATAATAATTTACTGTTGTGGTCGTCAAGAAATCAAAGCCGCCGAACTGGAATGACCGCCTTCGATGATAAAAAGATTCTGCCGGCTGGAGTTGTCGCAATAGAGGATTTGCTACCGCCGACCAAAATTTGTTGACGCCCAATTTTACATTAGTTGATTTCATTTGATTCTTTGGTTGATTCTTTGTCGGGAATGCTGCAGATGAACTAGAACCAACCAAAAAAATCAAACTTTTGGTCGTTGTTGGCAACACAGTGTGATTAACATGGCCAAGAGTTTTACAGACGGTGGCCGGTGGTACTTCATCTCCGTTCATCCCGGCAGGTTCAACTTTCCAATTTTTTTAAAAACTAGAATGACAGATTTGCCCCTATTATTATCTAATTAAAAATGGTTTATAACTTTCCGGCGACATTTGGCCGGTGATTTGGCCGGGTGGACCAAATGTGTTAAAAATTGCATAGTTACAGGATTAAATTGTTAGTTTTTAAAGTCAAGTACTCAAATTAACAAGACCACAATAGTCACAGGACAAAAAATGTAATTTTCTCTTAACTAATATCTGAGAACTGAATGAGTTGTATTGAATAAACTTATCAACAAAGGGTACAGACAATGAGAATTTATACAAGTCCGCATGGATAGCTCAACTGGTCATAGGGGTGAAATTTGGAAGAATGATCCGGGATCGAGTCTCACCAGCGGTAGTGAGGGGGGCTCCTTGTGCGCAGTGAGCACCGGTCTAGCCTCTGTGGTTCATGTTCATCCTCCCATCCCAAATGCTCTATATACAAGAAAAAATGATAACTGTGATAAGAAATCATATATTGACTCAAATACAATTGAATATTTATGATAGAATGAGATATTTTATGCAATGTGGAGGTGATTTAGGAAAGATAAATATATTTAGGTAGTGAGAGTTGGTTTTCAAAAAACAAAAAGGTAGTGAGAGTTGCTTTAGATTGACTTGATCGTCCTTCCATAACTGTGAGATTACCATATAATTGTCTTCCTTCAATCTTTGATTGTTCCCTATAATTATTTTTCCATAACTTTTACTGGACCGCCTACCCATGGACTAGATTGCCATACATACTTGGGCCTTCACCGAGCACATGGTCGACCACAACTAGTAGACCACTCTGGGCCGACCAGCCACGCCCTCAATCGTTATGCTATGGAACCAATGGTGAACACGGTTCTAAACGGTAACGGTGCTTACGGGCACAGTCATTTTCCATTAATTTTTTTTTAATTAATAGTGCGACTTTTTTTTTTTTTTTTTTTTTTTTTTTTCATATTCACATTTTGCGGTTTCACTTCCTTTTCGCGCAAGTTTCTTCAACACTCATAAATTATGAATGTGCTGAAATGAATTTATGAATGTGCAGTTATGAAATTATGAATTTTCTGTTATGAGATTATAAATGTACAGAAATTCATAATCTCATAACAGAAAATTCATAATTTAATAAATGTTTTTCTTTTATGAGATTATGAATTTTTTGTTATTAAATTATGAATTTTCTATTATGAGATTATGAATGTACAGAAAATTCATAATTACATAACTATAAATTCATAATCTCATAACAGAAAATTCATAATTTCATAACAAAAAATTCATAATCTGAACATAGAATGCAAAACGCCGTTAACAGCACAAAAACGATGCCGTTTGGGATTGTGTTCACAAGCATGGTGAACACGTTTTCACGGTATAATTTGCCCCACGCCCTAGTTCCGCATCCAACAATTATTATTATTATTATTATTATTAGAGGATAATGCAATCATTATTGCGTGGAGCGTGGTCTAGATAGCTGTGTGGACCACGGTCCAAAAACACATAAAGTATATTATTTTAACTCATAAAATACATTATTCTACACATAAAGTACAATATTCTAACTGATAAAATACATTATCTTATTCCACAAATTTTATTATTCTAACACATAAAATACATTATTCTAACACATAATGTATACTATCTTACCCCTAAATGTTTATTATTCAAATACGTACGCTGAACAAATGACTTTTCTTTTTTAACATCAAAACGACATTTTTTTGGACTTGACCATAATTCACACAATAATTTGTCAGGATAATGATAAAATATAGCCAAGTTCCACGCATTTGCCAAGTGATAAAATGTTAAACGTTTTTTTATTGGGCCAAACAATAGTGGGATTGTTTTAGCCCATCACTCTAAATATAATTAGCCCATAGAATATCAAATACCAGAGTAACATTGCTTCTATGCTATTTTTTGACCTGGGAGAAAAGAGGGCAAATTATTGTTTGGACTTTGACCACATAGTTGTGTGGGGCAAATTATGCTTTGAGCATGTGTTCACCATGCATATGGTGCGTACGAATTTATATCCATAATTTTTATACTATAGATTCATAATTTTTATATTGTAGATCTATAATTTTTAGAATTTCGGTGAGCTAAAATTTATACTTTAGATTCCAATTGTTGAACCAAGTTTTCACAAATCAGTGCAGTATAGAAATTATGGATCTACTGTATTTAAATTATGGATCATACGGTTTTAGAAATTATGAATCTAAAGTATAAATTTTAGCTCACCGAGAGTCTAAAAATTATAGATCTACAGTATAGAAATTATGGATATCGATTCGTGCGCACTATGCAAGGTGGGCACGTGCTCACAGCATAACGATTGGTTGTGTGGACCACCGTTAAAAATAATATCGTTTTGATGTTAAAAAAAAAAAAAATCTTTGTTCCGCGTGTGTTGAATTAGAATAATGAACATTCTGGGGGTAAGATAATGTATTTTATCAGTTAGAATAATATACTTTATGTGTTAGAATAATGTACTTTATGTGTTAAAATAATGTATTTTAATTTATGTGTTATAATAATGAAATTTATGGGATAATATAATGTATTTATGTGTTATAATAATGTATAATGTATTTTACTACTTTATGCATGTGTTAGAATAATGAAATTTTTGGGGTAAAATTAATAATGTATTTTATGAGTTAGAATAATGTATTTTATATGTTTTTAGACCGGGTGTGTGGAGCACGGTCCATGCAATAATGATTGCAGACAACAAATTTTAATGTGAACCATGGTCCAAAACGGTGTCGTTTCTTTTATAGCCCGTTAGGTTTGCTGGAAAATATTTGAAGGGAAATGGAATTGAAATTACATGGAAAATAAATTCCAAGAAAATGAATTTAATTGATTGGTTGGTAGAAAAGAAATTACTGGAATATGAATTCCATTGTTTGGTTGAGTTTGGAATTGTAAGGAAACATGGGTATAATGACAAATATAACCCTACACAACAATAATAATATAATAATAATAAGAGTAATTAATAAAATATTGTGAGGGCAAAATTGTCATACTAGTTTTTCATGGAAAACAAAATACCTAAGATGAGCGAAAAAGTTTTCCTCATTCTTGAGAAAAACTTTTTCCAATGGAAAATCTTTTCCATCCAACCAAACAACATAAAACACCATTTTCTTCTACTTTTAGGAAAACATTTTCCATGGAAAATATTTTCCATCCAATGAAAACAAACGGCACCCGTTCCGCGTAATCAGTTCTGTTTGTATAATATGTTCAGTTTCATTTTATATATACATTGTAGTTTAATTTCAGCGCAACTAAAGTTTCATTTTGTTATAAGTATAGTTCCATTCGACATTATACATACAATAGTCTTATTACAGTGAGACATGTTATTGCATTTCATTTTATACACATTGTAGTCTTATTACAACACAACAAAATTATAATTCTAATTCAACTACGATTTCATTGGACAATATACACTAAAATATGTGAAACTATTATTCAGTTTCATTTTATATACACTGTAAACTAAAGTATCATTTTGATATAACTACAGTTTCATTTGACAATATATACTCAATATGTAAGACATGTTATTCAGTTTGTTTTTATACATTCTTTGGTTTCATTTTAGCAAAACTAATTAAAATATCATTTTAATTCAACTACAGTTCTATTTGACAATATATACTTAATATGTGAGACATGTTATTTAGTTTCATTTTATACATACTGCAGTTTCATTTCAACACAACTAAAATATCATTTCAATTCAATTACAATTTTATTTGATAATATAAACACAATATGCGAGATAAGTTATTCAGTTTCATTTTGTTATAAACACACAAAAAATACAGAATTTGTTAAAATTTAACGGCTACGGTTTCTTTACTTAAAGAAACGACGCTGTTTTCGAACCATGGTCCACACAACTACATGTTAGTATGTGCAACTAGGGGCTATTGCAAGATTCTTGCAGATAGTGGTTGAAAGCTTGCAGAACATGAAGTAAAAATAAAATAAAGAGTTAATGACCGATTTGGTCCTCTGAGCATTGTGAAATTACCAATTTGGTCCTCGACTATCATCCTTACCCAATTAAGTCCTCAACTTTACAATTTTTACTCAATTTCGTCCTCCGCCTCTTTGGCTGTGAAGTTTCCGTCTAAATGAAGGACAATAATGTAAATGAACTTTACAGTTTACAGCTCGTGAAGCCTCCGTCGGAATCCTAAAAAATCTCCAGCCTCTTCTCCATGGCGAACTGGGAACTGGGAACTGGGAACGAAGCCTCCATTCATCCGAGTGCCCATGGCGATAGTCGACGGCATGTTTATCGATAATCGCCGGTCGCCTCCTCGCCCATTCTTCGTTCAACGCCGGCCTCTTCTCCATGGCGAATTGGGAACAAGGAACGAAGCGTCCATTCATCCGAGTGGCCAAGGCGATAGTCGCCGGAAGGTTTATCGATAGTGGCCGGGAGGTTTATCGATAGTCCCTGGCCGCCCCCCTCGTCCATTCTCCGTTCAACGTCGGCCTTTTCTCCATGGCGCCGGCGGTCCCCAAGGTGATGAAATCCGCCAGCTTGGACTTGGGCGACGAATATTTCAGATAGGATAATCATATTCACTGTTAAACCATAATATTTTTGTGGTCCAAATTCAATAAGACAATGTCATACACAACACATACGCGCAGCATGGTCCTCTCTTACACATTCTCTCCAAACTTTGCGGTTCTCCATTTGTTTGCCGCATCCTATGCTTGTTCCTAGTGTATAAATATTTTGCCCATTTTGATTTGTAATATACTCCTATTAAATTGCTCATTCTTACATCAAATTCTTTCTCTTTCTTTTGTCCCTACGTTGACACACACACACACACACACACACACATATATATATATATATATATATATATATATATATATATATATATATATATATATATATATATATATATATATTTACTCTAGTGATAATATATATATTTTCCTTTATTCCTAATTATTTTGTCATTTTATATATTTTCCTATTATTCAACTTTTATAATTCTCAATTTTCGATTCTTCGCTTCCGCATTATGCCGCTATATTCCTAACAAGTGGTATCAGAGTGGTTTAATTAAGAGTTATTTTCAAGGATGTCGACTGTCACTAAGTTCGATATCGAGAAGTTCGACGGGAAAATTAGCTTCTCTATCTGGAAGGTTCAGATGGAAGCCGTTCTAACCCAGAACGGTTTGAAGAAAGCGCTAGCTGGGAAGAAGAAGAAACCGGTTGCAATGACAGATGAAGATTGGGAATATTTGGATGATAAGGCACGTTCAACCATTCAATCGTGCCTGTCTAAAGAGGTTCTACGTGAGGTGGTGAGTGAGAAGACTACGTCAGATTTATGGTCTGAGTTGGAGTCGCTTTATATGGTCAAATCTCTGGCGAACAAGCTGCGCCTGAAGGAGCGCCTGTACACAATCCGTATGACAGAAGGTACTTCGATTAAATCTCACTTGGATGAATTTAATTCTATTCTATTGGACTTGGAGAATATTGATGTTGTAATTGAAGATGAGGATCGTGCTGTTTTATTGTTTGTCTCTCTCCCTAAATCGTACAAGCATTTCAAAGAAATTATGTTGTATGGTAATAGTAGTGATACCCTTACTTTTGACAATGTTAAGTCAAACCTATTGTCCAAAGAAAAGTTTGACTTTGAAATTAAGTCTGAGGACAAAGGTGAAGACTTGACTGTAAGGGGTCGTTCACTTGAAACAGAGAGTAGCAATAAAAAATCTAGATCCAAGTCCAAAGGACGTAAGTCCAACAAATCCTGTAAGTACTGCAAGAAGCAGGGTCACGATGTGACTGAATGCTTCAAGTTGAAAAACAAGCAAGAGAGAGAAAAGAAGTCTGTTGAAGCGAGTGTTGTTGAAAGTGATTCAGAAGGCGATGTTATGTTATTTGTTAGCTCCGGTGACAAACGGAGCAAAACTGAGTGGATTCTGGACTCTGGTTGTACATTCCACATGTGTCCTCACAAAGACTGGTTCGTCTCTCTGGAACCGGTTGATGGTGGAGTTGTCTTGATGGGTAATGATACCCAATGCAAGGTTAGTGGAACTGGAAGTGTTCAGATTAAAACTCATGATAATGTTACCAATGTTCGGTATATTCCTGATTTGAAACGCAATCTGATATCCTTGGGCACCTTGGAATATCTGGGGTGTAAGTACATAGCTGAAGGTGGAGTTCTGAAAGTCATAAAAGGCTCTCTTGTTCTCTTGAAAGCTTCTCGATCTGGAAGCTTGTACGTGTTGCATGGCAGTACTGTGACAGGTTTAGTAGCGGTATCCTCATCGATGTCTGATGCAGATCTCATACAACTATGGCATATGCATCTAGGGCATATGAGTGAGAAAGGCATGCATCTCCTGAGCAAGAAATGCCTCCTTGGTGATTCAGGTACGGGTAAATTACAATTCTGTGAGCATTGTGTTTTTGGGAAACAAAAGAGGGTTAGTTTCTCTACTGCTACACACCGTACGAAAGATGTATTGGGCTTGGTTTTTGATCGAAATTCTTCTGCATCTACTGACATTGTGGGCATTGTAGATTCTGATTATGGTGGTGATCTTGACAGACGTCGATCGCTTTCCAGTTATATTTTCACTCTTTGTAATTGTGCTATCAGTTGGAAAGCTACGCTTCAGTCTATTACTGTGTTATCTACGACTGAGGCGGAATATATTGCAGCCACAGAGGGTGTCAAAGAAGCTACTTGGCTACGAGGTTTGGTTATGGAACTTGGTGTTTCACAAGGTCAGACCGTTATGTTCTCACATAGTCAAAGTGCTATCCATCTCACCAAAAATGATACATATCATGCCAAAACCAAACACATTGATGTCAGATACCATTTTATTCGAGATGTTATAACTGCAGGAGATATAACCGTTTAGAAAATTCATACATTGGAGAATCCAGCAGATATGCTCACCGAGCCTCTACCTATCACCATGTTCAAACAGTGCTTGAATTTAGTCGGCTGTTCCGGTTGTTAATTTCCACCGTGAATTTGATCCAAGGTGGAGATGTTAAACCATAATATTTTTGTGGTCCAAATTCACTAAGACAATGTCATACACAACACATACGCGCAGCATGGTCCTCTCTTACACATTCTCTCCAAACTTTGTGGTTCTCCATTTGTTTGCCGCATCCTATGCTTGTTCCTAGTGTATAAATAGTTTGCCCATTTTGATTTGTAATATACTCCTATTAAATTGCTCATTCTTACATCAAATTCTTTCTCTTTCTTTTGTCCCTACGTTGACATATATATATATATATATATATATATATATATATATATATATATATATATATATATATATATATATATTTACTCTAGTGATAATATATATATTTTCCTTTATTCCTATTTATTTTGTCATTTTATATATTTTTCTATTATTCAACTTATTTCTCAATTTTCGATTCTTCGCTTCCGCATTATTCCGCTATATTCCTAACATTCACCTCAGTGCTAAATCCATGGATCATCGTCGAAAGTCGAATCTGCGGATGTCGATAAACCTACCGGACAACGAGATTTCCCTCAAGAAAAGCGGGCAGTTGCAGTTGCAGTTCACTAATACCTTTCTTGAATACGACGAGGGGGCCGGTTGGGGAAAGTCCCCTCTGAGATCATCCAGCCTGAACTTCTCCTCCTCGTCAGCGACAACGGCCGACCGGAGTTACAGAAGTACGAGAACAGTGGTCGAGGTTCTGCGGGAGCTGTCGGATTTGGCCGTCGAGTTGGGAATGAAATACGCATTTGCAGAGAGCTAGGCACCGGAGTTCGGGAATGCTATCCCTGCCAGCTTGATTTCATCGTTTTCTAAGAGAATAACTAACAATCCTCTTCCTCTTTGAGAAATAATATATATTACTCCGTATATATTCATACATACAAACAAACACGAGCATGGATTTATGAAAGCTCCTTACTGCATTTTTCCTACTCTGCCTATGACTATAGTTATAGAAGCTGGTGGCGGTGACTACTGTGTATGGCTTTCCGACGAGGACAACACGATGTGATGTGATCTCGTCTTCATGGCGTCTGGAAAATACATGAAAAAGAAGAAAGAAAATAGAAGAGAAAGAGAAAGAAAGAAAAAGAAGGAGAAGAGGAACGAGCAGATCAGCAAAAAGAAAGAAAGGGAAACGGAAAACTGATCATCTGACACGCCCCACCGCGATAGTTGTGTATTTACGTTATTCTCCTTCATTTAAACGGAGACTTCACAGCCAAACAGACGGAGGACGAAATTGAGTAAAAATTGTAAAGTTGAGGACTTAATTGGGTAAGGATAATAGTCGAGGACTAAATTGGTAGTTTCGCAATAGTCAGAGGACCAAATTCGTCATTAACTCTAAAATAAAAGTGTTCCAACTAGGGGCTAATGCAATCAACTTTTTCACTAAATATACAAAATTGATCGAAATCGTTCCACACAAGATTTTTTATACATGAATGCAAAAATAAAAGTGTTACGTTCCATATCATGAACTAAAGTCCATATATCATTTTAAATGCCAACAAAAAACAAAAGGATAAAAAAAATCACATGAACAAAAATAATCTTCTCCCAGATACTACTTACTGAACCATTGAACTATTAAACTAAGTTCGTGTGGGCAAAACAGAAATAATCTACGTCTGTTTAGCTTGCAGAATATCATTCCAAAGAGACGAACAATCTTCTTCATTTTTCAGAAACTCTTCCCATGCCAGAAACTCATTATTATTGGCTTCTAGCCCCCCAGGTGAGGGTATTATAGTTTGGTCTAAAGTGGGAATATACTCAGAGGAACTTTGAACTAGAGATGGAAGTGAATATTCTGAATGGCCATTATTTTCACCAGCATCTGTAAGTATTTTCATGTGTGGGTTAAAGTCAGAGCCAATAAAATCTGAAGAATTATGGGTAGCAGAAACATAATTATTGATTGTATCAATAGTGTTATTATTATCTAATCCCATTGGAAAATTTTCTTGCTTATTAGTAGGAAATAGTATTGGGTAGGAATTGAGGAATTGAAATATGTTTTGTAACCTAAGAGCAGACCCCAAAGGATTATTTGTGTTGGAAAGCATTTGATGGGAGAGATTTAATAGGAGATTTATATCAGTTATTGGTTGGTGTGTTTTTGGATCAATTCCCATTCTTAGAAGCTTTTTCCTCAGATTTGTGTTCCAGAAATTCTTGATTTCATTGTCAGTTCTTCCGGGGAGATGAGCTGCAATCCTTGACCACCTACAAATAATTAGTAAATTTTAGTATAAATAAGTAAACCTTAGAAGCATTTGCCAAATATAAATAAAATAAAAAATGATGATAGGAGTATTTTTAGAGAGTAAAACTTCAGTTATTTGTTTTAATTTTATTATAGAGAAAATGAAATGAAAAAATAGCTATAAGTCACTCACTTTTTTATTTATAGATGACACATCAAAAAGTACGTAGTTAAAAAAAAAAAAAGTAAAAGGTGAGAGTAAGTATGGTATTTGTCTTTAATTAAAAGGGTATAATTGAATTGTTTTTTAGTATTACTAACTCTGCTACAATATAGCTAGTATTTATACATACAAACTTTCTCAACTTACAAGCCACAGATGTACCATCAAGCTACAAACTACTTGGCTATGGGTATATTGAATTTAGTCTTTCAATTTTGGCATTTTTTTTTTTTGTTCTCAAGTTGACCTTAAAGTGGTGTTTTAAATTCATTATATAATAATTTATTGTGATAATATTAGATTATGGGGATATAACAATTTCTAATAGAAGGGTGGGTATTTGGAGCATTCAAGGAAACTAAAAAATATAAGCTTTTTGTTGTACTTTTTTTATGGACCATGTTACACACCCCAAGTTTACTACTCACAACTAATAACCACTTCATGATGTGACAAAATTATAGACATTAGTAAACTTAAAATTAAAAAGGAAAACTAATGCATATATAGGATTTTGCTACATCATGAAGTGATTGATTTGTGAGTGATAAAATTAAGAACAATTAGCATTTTCCTTTTATAGAAATATATAAAGATTAAAAATATCACTTTGATGTAGGATCAAAAGTTGAGACACTAACAAATAAGGGACTACATCTATTATATTATATAAGTAAAGATGTAGTATCCATTTATACATACTTTCTCAACCTATTGAAACACAAAGAGAGTCAATATCTCCGATGGAGTTTGAACCCTCTGACCTCCCATTCATAAGGCGAATTATAGTTGAATTATTAATATATAGTGAGCATATAATACCTAATGATGTTTTTGAGATAGAAAAATAATGAGTTTTGATATTGTGAATTAATTAGATTCAATCACTAATTCATAGCGGATTTTTATGATACTTATTGACATCAGTGTCGTATTTTCATAGTATCCAGTGCAACTCAATATATGTTATACTTGATACAAAAGATAAGTGCCGGGGTAATTCAACCAATATATGACTAAGGATATAAATTTATAATCACAAGATTACAAGTTCAAATACAACATTTTTAGTTTGAGTCGCTCAACTATGAATAACTTAAGCTGGTTCACCTCTAAATGATCCTTTGTCAGTTAAGGTCACAAGACTCATGGGATTTATCCAGTAATGATTGTGAATTTTTCCCGTCACTCCAAAAAGATACCGTGTCAATTGTGGACTACAATTTTTCAAGCAAATTCCGAAAATAAACTAAGACCTTATTTGGTAAAATAGTTAGCCTATCAGCAAATTTTGGTTTGTTTGATAACTGTTAGCTGTTTGACTTGGTTAAACAACCTATATGAGTGTTTGATTAATTAGCTTTTTGTACCAGCTTATTGCTCCAAAATACTAAAATTCAAAAAACTGTTCAAAACAGTTTTTTCAATCAATTTTTTGAGAAAGTCATTTTGTATGTAATCAACTATCAGCTAACAACTAATTTACCAAACATCTTTCTACAATCAACTTAAACCCACTAACAGCTATTTACCTAACACCCCTAAATATTAAGATAAAATAGGAAGGAGGAGGAGAATTAGTGTACTTGTTTCCGAGAGAAGAATGGAGATTGATGATGATTTGTTCCTCTTCCTGGGAGAAATCCCCTCTCTTAATATCAGGTCTTAGGTAATTTGTCCACCTGAGTCGACAACTCTTCCCACACCTGTTAAGACCGGCTTTCTTGGGGAGCATTTGCCAGTTTCCATGGCCGTTTTTGAGCACATAATCCGACAGTTTCTGGTCCTCCTCCGCCGTCCACGGCCCTTTCTTCACCTCCTCACTGTCTTTGCAGCATGGATGCCTCCCCATTATTTACAATGTCGTTGAAGATCAGAGAAAAACAATAATATATATATTTTATTTGGTTGAGTAGTTTTGGGTTATGCTGAAGGGTTAGGGTACTTTTATAGTTGCATGGGGGACATAAAATAAAGAGGTGGACTAACAAACATCTTGGATTGTCAAGTTGAATAAAATTAAGAATTAGGTAATGTTAATTGGCACTTATTGGAAGTGTCACTTTCGTATGAAGTGAAATGTGTGTCTTCAACCAGGGGCGGAGGTACCCCACCCCCACCCCCCAACTCCCATCCCCACCCCACCCACCCACCCACCCTATCCTATCTAAAAATATTAATAAATATTTATGTATATATTATTATATTAAGATTAAAACAAATTATTATCCCCTTCATTTTTTTTTCTTAAATTGTACTATGTATATCGATCTCTATCTATATTAAAACAAAATGAAGTAGTGAAAATCTTTTTCCGCCCAGCACAAACAGGGATGTTTTGCAGGCCGGCTTAAACATTGAATTCATTGGTTAAAAGATGGCAACTGTTCATTTACCGAAAAAATATTTATGACTTTTTTCTAAAATATGTAAATAATTATTTTAGCCGCTTTTTATTTCCAATGTAATCAATGGTGCCCAATGGATTCGTACCCTTACGTTTCATTAAGGATTGATTTCAAATCACAGCTAAACAATTATAAATACATTAATTTGTCTTCAATACAAACACTACGAATATATATAATAACAACTAGAAATATTTCTTAATCATAGACAAACACATAGAATGTATCCATTGTACATCGTTGCACGTAAAATTTCTCCGATGAACACCTGGAGCGCAGTACGCCTCAATGTGTTTAGAACATATGAAGTTCCTGAACGAAAAGGTTCTTCATCAATCAAATTTAAAGAATTGGTCTTTCATGATCAAGATGTATGATTTAATTGTTTTTCCAGTTCAGTAGTATTTCTAATCAGTTCAGTACTATTTAGACATTTTTTGTGATTAAAATGCAACATTTTCAGAGAACATTCCTTCATGCTCATATTCCTAAAGAATATGTTGAAAAGTTTCTTAACCGATTTAAAGAAGGGAGAGTGTATGGTGTTAAAAATTTCTTGGTTATCACAAATTTTTACACATTTAAAACCAGTTCTCATCATTACATGATAAAATTTAATTATCATACTATTGTGAAAGAATAGAAGAATACAAGTTTTCCTAGGCAAATTTGATAGGCAAATTTCACTGTGGACTTTGGTCTATGTAGCAGTGTGAACTATGAAGTATGTATCATTTTAATTACAGTTCAGTTTCATTTGACAATATTGCTATGTTTTTTAGTTTCATTTTCCTTCCACACTAGTTTCATTATGACAATACGAAAGTATCATTTTAATTTCACTATAGTTTCATGTGATAATATACATTATTGCTTGAGCTCTATTTTTTTTTTTCCGTTTTCCACACACTAGTTTAATTATAGTAATATTGAAGTATTATTTTAATTGTATTTCAGGTCATTTGACAATATATGTTATTGTATGGCTCTAGATTTTAGTTTCATTTCCCAAGCACACTAGTTTCATTATATATAGCAATACTAAAGTATTATTTTAATTATACTACATTTTCATTTGACAATAATGGGTTATGTATTTCAGTTTAATTTTCCACAAACACGTTTCATTATAGTAACACTAAAATACCATTTTAATTCTACTACAATTTCATTCAACGATCATATTTCACACAGCGATGTGTGGATCATGATGCACTGTATAACAAATGTGTTTTTCTTGTTCTCCTCTTCCCCTTTGATTTTTAAATTTGATTTTACAAATAAAAAATGTACATCGTTAATATTGCAATGTTTCCAACTGAATCTTTCTCGATCGGCTCTTGTTCTCTACCTGCATTCATTGATATTATCGTGTATATATATTGCTTTTTATTTTTGTGACGTACCAAAATATTGTACGTATATAAGGTGTTTTTAACGTTAGCATAAAACATCATCAAAGTCGTTATGGTTTTTGGCGTTTTATATGCTTCTTATGGTATCACAGTATTAGGTACGGAGTGTACATCTTTGAATATTCTAAGAAATAATGATTTTTTTTTTTACACTAAATCCCTAACTGCCCCCTTGAACCTTGGTACGTGTTGGATACTTCATCACTTCATCTCCTTTCACAGTCCACCATTCAAAGCTCCTTTCCATTCACGTATGCACAAATGTCATTACAGCACAGCTCTCATAATCTTTTTTCCATCGTTTAATTTCCTTCAAGCATGAAGAGATAAGCTGAAAATTAATTAAAGAATTTATTCTATTGGGCGTTGGCCGAGTTGGTCGAGTTCAGTCCAGCCATGAAGAGGAATAGTGGGCACGAAGACTAAGAATCGAGTCAGGCATGTAGACGTTCGTGACGCTGTGGCATACCATGGAGGGATGTGGTTAAATGATTAATGTCTACCTACTTATCACCAATTGATTTTAAGTAAGATATGTCAACAGATAGCCAAAGAACGCTGTGGTTAAATATTTACTTATAAGTAAACATTAAATTTAAGGGTAATAATATAAAATTTGGCCCTTCGTTGAGATGAAAAATAGGGTTCATAAACTTAATACATTTGGTTCATCATTAGTAGGAATGTGAAGAACCAAAATTTTACATTATTACCCATATATTTAATGTTTACTAAATTGATATTTAACTGAAGGACCAAATTTGAAAAAAAAAAAAAAAAAGGTTAAGGAAACATTTATGGTCAAATTAAAAGACAACGATGAAAATTGACAAATGTCAACAGTCAATGAATTATTTATATATTCTTTCAAAAGACTGAACCCAACCCTAAGATGAATTATTTATATATGATCCAATTGAAAGTGGGGGCTGGATAAAAATTGGTAAATGTAAATAATCAATTGATCATTCTTAGAATTAAATCTTAATTAAAAACTAGCAACTTTAATTTGATCCAGGAAGACAATATGCTTAACTAATCATATAGTTCAAGAAAAATGGTTAACAAAACGAACACAAAAGCTACTAATTATTGAAAATTACAATAAGATGAGCTTTGTAGTGACAAGGAATTGGTACGTGAAGCTATATATATATATATATATATATATATATATATATATATATAAGACTCTTTCTTCATATTAATATGAAGGTCGATTACAAATTTGCTAATAAGTGTATTAACAAGGATCCAACTTGTCATTTAGGGTATATTTGAAAACCTGAAAATAACTTATGAAAAATGTTTTCCAGAAAATGAATTATTTTCGAGAAACATTTTCATTTCTGTGTTAGTTTGCATTTCAGAAAACTGTGGATATTTTTAAAAAAATGAGTAGAATTGTATTTTAAAAAAAAAACAATATTATTTATAATTTTTTTAAAAAGAGCAATTGTTTCATAAAAAGAAAAAAAAAGGGGGGGTTTCCAAAGCCAGAAACTGGTTTCCAACAGAAACTAGTAAATTGTTTCCGTTGGTTCCATCCGCTAGTTTCCGGCATAAACCAGATAACTGGTCGAGAACCAGATTTTTGGTTCCTAACGAAAATCAACGAAGAAGATGGTCAACATGAAAAAAGTTTCTTTGGATTTTTAGAAAAATGACTTCCCCCCAGTGGCGAACCCAGAAAAATTTTTGAGTGGGGACAAAACATTATAGTGTGAAAAATAATGAAACACTTACGAAATATAGTCATAAATATTGTTGGATATAAACGAAAAATAAAATATATTAAAACTTTATAAAAATATTCATAACAAAATATGAAAGATAATTTATTTGATAAAATAATTCAAATAAAAAACACATCTTATTGTCTGAAAAAATGGGTTTGTTTTTCCTTTGACCGAAAATCAATTTCCGTTGATCATCATTTTCCCCCCTTGCCAAACACTAGAAACCCAAAAAATTTGTCGGGTTTCCAAACACAACCTTAGTTTCATTTGATGATGACATTTTAGTGCCTAACGAATACGGAAGACTCAATATGTGTTGCTTCTATGAATAGAGTTACCTTGTCCACACGAGTTTAACTCACTGGTTCAATAGATAGTATTTGGAGCAAGAGGTCAAAGTTCGAAACTCAGCTACGACAATGTGGGATTATGTCCAAAGCAGGCACATCTCATGTATGCTAAGTCACTGAATTACCGTGATTTACATAATTCAAAATACTTTATCACGCCGTGGTGTGAGGTGCACTTAGAATTTGGGACGAATAAGAGTTACCTTGTCTCATTTTTATGAAACTTGACCGTCAACTTAGGGGCCAAACGCCCAAACCATTAAGTCTTGTCAGCATATCCTTATACATAACCTCAACGATTGCACTGTCCAGTCCATAATTAAAAATTGTATTTTGCTCGTTATATAATAGAGTGCCAAAGAGTTGATTTATTACATTATTTGTGATTTTTCTCATTTGGAATTTTATATAAAACATTCATGTCCTTATAGTTCGTAAACATCAGAACAGAGTCTACGTTTCCCTTTCACAGTGTACACCGGTTACTTGTATACAATATTAGAAAAATAACGAATCGTAAGCTTCTGGACAAGTAAAAATGGAATTTCTTTTAGTTGCAAGTAACAATGACATTAAATATGGTATTAGTCAATGGGGAGTTAGGAAGAAGGTAAGGTTTGTTAGCAATTTAGCATATTTTTCTATGTTTTCTTGTCGTTTTACTTCGCTTCACTAGCAAGTTTACTTCCCAAGAAATAACAGGAAAGAAAAAAGCATTTGAAAATTAAAGATTTAAAGATAATTAAAAATAATTCCAATGGATAAGGACCATCGACCTCAGCTCCTCCAAAGAAACTACCTTTTACATATATAGATTTTGGATTAGAACTCTCCTTCACGTGTGAACTTAAGGAATGCATCGTAATTACTCTACAAATGCATTGCAAGGTCTTCGCGCGCTTCTAGACATAAATACCCTTATAATAATAATAATAATAAAGAATATGATTACGATTATGATATACTGAATGTTTTATATACATACATACAT